TAGAAGTAATAATGGACAGAATTTTTAAAATGAACAAAGGTATTCAAGAAAGTTTGCTTTCACAAGTAGCCCTTCACATGGCAATAAATATTTAAGATCTATAATACTATTCTGAAATGACAAGGCATTATTTTGAATATAACTTTTCCTTTTATAAGGAAATATATTATGAAGAAGGAATGAGGGAAGGGAATGCCTATAATGTAAACTTTGTAACAAAATTTTTAAGAAATCCAGATCACCTGAATTATTCCATGAAAGACGTCTCTGAATTCTAAAATGGTATGGAAATCTATTTGTTCATTATAGTTACAATGTTAGCTTTAGATAGGCTTCACTAATGATGATTAGTACATCACTAATCATCACTAATGATGACTGCATTTATAAGTATTATATTTTACAGGGTTTTACCATCCCTTGACTCAATTTATCAATTTATTCAATCAAATTTGTCTATACAGTTAGGTCTCAGGGAATGGAGAATGTGGCTAATATACACATCAAGTTACTCAGTTTATTCTGTAACACTGCCAAGTATGGGAACCGCCTTGTAAGTCATGGTTAAAAATCCCCAATGTTATGGTTGTGTTTAGATGTCCCCTCAAAGCCTCATGTGAATGAAACGGGGCTTTTTCGGAGGTGGCTGGATCTAGAGCAGGTGATGCTGGAACTGATTCATGGTATAATGCTAGGCTCAAGGGCACTAGGATTAAAGATATGAGTGCTACCTGCCCTAAGTATAAGATAAAAGGAGCCAGAAGATGCCTTGCTACCTTTGTTGCTTTGCTACCTCGGTCCACATGAACTGTTTCCCCTCTGCCATGTGCCACCCTTTTGGAGCCAGCTGATTATGGATTGAAGCCTTTACAAACTGTGAGTTAAATAAACCTTTCCTCTTTTAACTTTGGGTGTTGGGTATTTTTGTCTCAGCAACGAGAAAATGACTAAGATGCCAAACATGTTTTAAAAAGCTGTATGTAGAAAATAACCCTCCATTAATATGTATGGTACTGATATATAATCCTTATTTATAATATTATTTTTGGGGGATTAAACTGGAATATGTTAAATAAAAAAATGTACTACTTACATTGCCCAAAAACTAAAATTGTTGCTATACTCTTAATTTTCAGAAGAAAAATTAGAAAATAATACTAGGTGGTAATCAAAATAAGTTTAGAGGACTCCAAGGAAGTACGAAAATATTCTTGAGATTTTCTATCTGGAACCTGTAGGCACTTTTAAGAGGAAAATAAAACTTGTGTTCTGAACAGACATTATTCCTAAACTTAGTCCTTGTTATGATGGTTATTTTTTGACCCACATGAAACCAAAAGGAGCTCAAGAGTTTCAGAAGTATTAAAAAAACCCCAAAAATGAACAAATATAATAAAAAGGCTGAGAAAGATGTAATAAACCTGACTATGTACAATGACAAGCAGAGGATTAGGGGAAACATATTTGGTAAATAAGTCTCCAAAGAGACAAAAGACACTGCATATAAGAGAATATCTCTTAGGCTCGTTATGAGGTGGTGTTGCAAAGTAAGGGAAGTTCAAAATTACCTAATTGGTAAAAGGAAAATAATTATTATAGGTTATTTAGGATTCTAAAATCTAGGTGACTTTACTCTTGAAAATGTCTATACACAAAAATATTTACAAATATTACTAGACAATTGCATAATCTAAAAGGCAGAAGAAGCCTTACAGATTTTTATAGTCTGTGTTTAAATCCTTCTATAAGCAAAAACCTCCAAATCTAAGTAAGTATTATATACAGTGAAACTAGTACCTTCTTTTTTGGTACCGGGGATCAAACTCAGGACCTTGCACTTGTGAGGCAGGCAGCAGCACCACTGAGCTAAATCCTGGGACACTAGTACCTTTATTCTGGACATCATATTTTCTTTAATGCAGTCGATGACTGTTAGCTTTTCATGACTATATATGCGATACTGTTAGTTAAACTGAATTAATAATTCACTAGAAGCCTCAGTGATTCTTCAAGTACATTAAGTTACAGCTCAATGAAATATAAATAACTTTTTAAATATTCATTTTTTAGGTCTCTGTAGCCACTGGCAGTCACATATAGATGTTGAGCCCTTGAAATCATACAGACTATTTCCTTTGACCATAATGGAATCAAGCTAGAAACCAATGCCAGAAGAACAACAGGAAAATCTGTAAATATGTAGAAATAAAATGATATACTTCTAAATGAATCAAAGATGAAGTCTCAAAAGAAACAAAAATATACATAGAAGTAAAGGAAAATTACCACACAATATATCAAAACTTGTGTGATCCAATTAAAGCAGCATTGAGGGGAAATGAAAAAGGCTAACTGCCTCAAGAATCTAGAAAAAAGTAAAGAAATCAGAAGGAAGGAAACAATAAGGATAACAACATAAATAAAATTAAAAATAATAGGGAAACATTACTGAAATAAAAGTTAGGTTCTCTGAAAAAAAATCAATAAGCCTCTAGGGAAGACTAATAGATAAAAGGACGACAGAAATCAGCAGTACTGGGAATGAACTGGGCTATGACCATAGATTCCCAAGCCATCAAAATGGTAACTGAGATACAACAACTTTATGGTTGTAAATTTGAACATGGAGAAAACATGAAAAAGTCCTTGAAAACCACAAATTACTAAAACTCTATCAAGATGAAACAGATATAACTTCTTGTCTTATAACCATAAAAGTCATTTATGATTTAAAATTTCCCTCCCCTTATCTCCAGGCCCAGATGGTTTCACTTAAGAAGTCTAATGAAAGTGTTTAAAGAAAAATTAACACTAATGTAATACATTGTTGCATTAATTAGCACTAATTCTATACCCTCTGCCTCTCACTGTAAATAGAAGAAGAGGGAACACTTTCAACTCATTTTTTAAGGCCAGTATTACCCAATACCCAAACTGGATAAAGCACAAAACAAATCTATAAAGGAGTCCATGAACTTAGGTGCAAAATATTGACAAAAGAAACCTAACAATGCTTAAAAAGAATAACAAACCATAACTACATGGGATTAATCCCAGGTAGACAAACCTGGTTCAATAGTTAAAAATCTCAAATGTAGCTCACCATACTTAACAGGCGACAGAAAAAAAAAATATGAGAAGATTCAACAACCATTCATAAATACTTTAAGAAAAACAGAAGAACTTAACTTTCTCAGTCTCACAAAGAGACTCTAAAAAGCTCTGTAGCTAACACCATTATCAATACTAAAAACACTGATGGTTTTCTTCTAAGACTGGGGACAAATCAACAATGTTCATTATTTACCACTCTTATTCAACACAATCCTAGAGGTTTTACCCACTGCAATAAGACAAGAAAAATACAGAAAAGGTGCAACAGATTGGAAAGGAAGAAAGCATAGTATATGATTATGTAGAAAATCTTAAAGAACCTAGAAAAAAACTCCTAGAACTAATAAATGAATTGAGTAAGACTGAAGGATATTTGATTAGAGCACACAAATAAACTATGCATAGAAACAAAAAGTCAGTGTCACTGACAACTGCTCCAAAAATAATTACTTAGATATAAATCTTAACAAAATACATAGAGTTTATGTAATAAAAGCACAAAAATCAACTATACATGAAAACAAAGAAATCAGTCACTGACAACTGCTCCAAGATAATGAAATACTTACATATAAATCTAAGAAAATATGTAGAAAATTTATGTAATAAAAATTACAAAATACTAAGGAAAGAAAATCACAAACTTGTACAGATATCTGTTTATGATGTTGATTCTGAATAAATTAATCAATGATTAGAATTATTATCAAAACCCTAGAGAGATTTTCTGTAGACACAGAAAAACTTGATCTAAAATGAACATGAATAGAAAAAGATTCTAGGATACCTAAGACAATTTTGAAAAAGAATAAAATAAGAATCATTCTTCTTGGTGTTAAGGTTTACTATACAATCTTGATTATTCAATCAAGACAATATGGTACAGGTTATATATCCCTAGCAGGAAAATCTTAAATCTCAATAAAATTTCACTGCACTCTGGATTTTTGATTTTCAGATTAGGGATACTCATTAGGTAAAGTCTTTGCAAATATTCTAAAATAAAAAACCTCCAAAATATGAAACACTTCCGATCTTGAGCACTTCAGATAAAGGACAGGCAAATAATACTGGTGACATATGAATAAACTGTGGGTTGTACCAAAGTCACTTTACTGGTTTTGATATTATACTATAGTTATGCAAGATACTAACACTGGGTGAAATTTGGTGAAGGGTGAATGGGATCTCCCTGCACCTCTCTCTGAAATATCATGTGCATCTACAATTATTTCAAAATAAAAAGTTAAAAATACTGCTCCATGTTAACAAAATCAAATATTATTTTCAAAATAGATTTCAGATTATTAATAATTAGTGCTTGACAAATTTATGATATTCAAAATGAAGTTTATATATTGATAACATCATTTATCACATAGGAAGGCTGAAAAGAGAGCCGAATGTACATAAGAAATGCTTTCTTATTGGCCTAAATGTTTTTACTACGTCAAATTTTCAATTTGACATTTCAAGTGACGTAAAGAGAGTAAGAACTATACTAGGAAAAGTATGGGATTTTTACAGAGTCTAATATAGCAACATGCAATGAAAAACATAAAGCACAAATGTTTCTATGTGAATTGTAAAGATGCACTGCATTACTTTTTTTTTTTTTGGTACCAGGGATTGAACTCGGGATCTTGCGCTTGTGAGGCAGGCGCCGGAACCACTGAGCTAAATCCCCAGCCCAACTTTTTGGTATACTAATTTTTTTAAAACTGACTTTCTGAAATAAAGTCCATCCCATTTTGAACACAGTATATTATTCTGAAATCTATTTCTTTAGGAGAATGTGGTATCAAATAAAAAAAAATGTAACTCGGACATTTCAAAATTTAGTTGGTTCTGAACAATGTCAATGTAAACTGATAAGTTAACGTTACCTGATTTCCAACTTTGCCACATCAGGTAAATCTGCATAATTTATCTCTCCTACCTCCAATTCTTTAAGAGCAGCTATAATTTTCTGCTGATCTTTACTGCTAATTCCATTCTACGGAGAGACAATTTTAAGGTATAGTAAGATACTTATATTGAACAATTTAATTTTCTTAACGTTTTCTACTTGAATTTGCATATTAAAAACTAGATTGGAAAATAGCAAATAAAATTAAAATACATGGTTTGCTTATAACTATAATGGAAAAATTTACATCATTAAAATATTTGGCATATAGTTAACACAGTCTTTTTTACAATAGATAACAGCAATTGTGATGGATTATAATCAAACCACAGTTTTCATATACAATAAGTTCAGAAAAACACAGTAAAACTGCTTCCTTCAAAATATTTAAAATCTTATCAGGGATAATTAACAATACTCCACCTTTCATTTGTATTATACGCTGATGTTAAATTGAATTTTATATCTTGGATTTAATTAATTAATATGCTTATTCTGAATTTTGGTAATAGGCAACATTTCAAATTTCTAATGTGTTCATACAATAAGACCACTGCTTTTTAGATACCTTATTCCTCAAAGTATCTCTAGTACTTCCTACAGCTATTTTTTCAGTTGTTATTTAATAATACTAGGTCTTTACAATCTTGAGTATCCATTATAAGGTATATTATTTGAAGACACATATTTATACTCACATACATAATAAAATGTCCCTAATTCCTAAATACCCTGTTTTAGAAATCTATTTCACATTTGGAAATGAAGTAGCAGATTTAGTTAAGATATCATGACAATCTGAAGGAAAAAAATCCAAAACTAAGTCTAAATTTATTTAAAGTAACTTACAGTTATAATTGGATTTCAGATATAGTTATCCATTTTAATATCTAATGAGGAACCTAGGAAAAGATTCAATCACACTTTATAGCACTAGGATTTTTAAAATAGAAAATAATCCCTGGTACCAAAAAAAAATTATAAAATAAAAAATAAAAGGATCTACAATTTAAAAATATCAAAGAATATATGTGGAGTTTTTGAAAGTGATACTAACCTCTGTAAACTCATCTTTTTTCATGGTCAAAAGGTGTCTTAAAGTTATATCCTTTTCCTGTAGAAAAGGAAAAACCCACCACCTTTCAATATAAGTAGTACAAGGGGAAGTAGGTAAGTCTACATAAGTTAGTTATATGCTCCACTCTTAAATTCCAGCTTTCTAGGGAGGACAAAATATAGTATGCAGATATAGGACTGCATTACTGGGTAGACAGTACATAGTCACCTAAAAAATAAAAACAAAACTAATTTTCAAGATTCAAAGAAAGCAATCACATTCATATTTGTTTAAGTAAAAACAAACGTAATTCTATAAGATTTGACGGAAATTGTATTTATCAATATTAAACTTCTGGCTATATGAGATTAACCCATCAAAATATGAACTTTTACTCAAGATTTCTCCAAACAGGAAGAACTTTCAAGACTCTACAGTAGCTCTGAAACACCTGAACAGAATGTGCACTTTTCCACTGAAACTGTCAGAATCATCTAGCTAGTAATTATCGTCATCTACTCAAATCCTACAATGTATGTGGTTTGATCAAAACATAATGGGAATGTTTAAATTAAAAAATTATTACAGTAAAAGACACACTGTCACTTTCTTCCTCAAAATACTCTCCCTTGCTTCAAACACACTTATTCCATCATTTTTGCCACTTTTTGAAGCAGTTCTGGAAGTTGTCTTTTGTCGATGTCTTTAGTTGCACTGTTGTGGTTGCCTTGATGTCCTGAGTTGAAAATATTTGTTCACGTTCATTTCGACTTTTGGGATGAGCAAGAAGCCGCATGGTCTCCCACCTGGTGAATAAGGTGGATGAGGACACACCATAATGTTGTAATTTCATAGAAATTGCTGTAAATGTGGACTGTAAACTGCTTCAGAGAGTCATAAGAACAGTATGACGTGGTTAAAGCAAGGAAGAGTGTTTTGAGAGGGTTCAATGACAATGTGTCTTTTAGTATAAAAATTTTATTTTAAAATGTCACTGTATTTTGCAATCATATTGCATATGCTTAAAGCATCTGGGCAGTGCTTGGTACATGATCTAATGTAAAATGACAACCCTACACTAGCTATTATTATCATCCTTATAAGGAAAAGATATTTAAGTAACATTTCAGTTAATAATCTCAGTGAGAGTCTGATATCAGGTTTGTCTGATTTAAAATCAAGCTTCTAATATTTTATATAAGATTTGCAATTGCAGTTGGGTGTTGTGGCACACTCCTGTAATCCTAACACTTTGCAGGCTGAGGCAGGAGGATCCAGTAAGTTTCATGTCAGTCTGAGCTACACAGGGACACCATGTCTCAAGGCGGGAAAAAAGGGGCCCTTTCAACTGAAAAAGCGAGGCAAAAACAAAGAGTTTAAGTGTAAAGGCACTGGGTAGTGGATTCAAAACTGTTAAATCCACCCAGATTCTAACTTAAGTTAATTTCTAGAAAAAATAATTTGAAATGATCATTACAAGTTAAAACAAGATGGGGCTGGGGATTTAGCTTAGTGGTTCCGGCGCCTGCCTTGCAAGCGCAAGCTCCCGAGTTAGATCCCTGGTACCAAAAACAAAACAACAACAACAACAACAAAACAAAAACAAAAAACCAAGATGTAGTCCAAGTTATGGAGAAAAGGAATGGCACTCATTCATAAGCATGCTTAATGAATTTACATTTAATGTTATGTTAACCATCAAATAAATGTGTATGTGCATACAGATCATTATAATTTATATGAAATCTTACCTTTAGTAAGTCTGTCATATGTTCCAGTCCAAGACCATGCAAAAATATCTCCAGGTCTCCAAATGCTGTATATGAACTATACATATTTATAGCAATGTCAATTTCAGAATAGATTATAAATGTACACATAGTATATATTTATATTTCAGGGAGAGAACAGGAATGAGTAAGAAGGAATCTATGGAGAATATATTTGCAAATTTATACAACAGATTTAACAGTATATCAAAGAATAAGCATGCTTTCTTTTTTATTTCTTTAAAAAATTTTTGGTATGCTGGGGATGAACTTAGGGCTAAGCAAGCACTCTACCACTGAGCTATATACCTAGCCCTAAGCAAGTTTTCTTTAGCAAAAATAAGGAAAAAAATTATAGCTTTTCTTAACAATAAAATATTCATCAATATGTATTCCTTGTGAAATCTCTGCACATAAAAATCTCTTTAATTATAATAAATAAAAATAACTTGGGGCCAGGGATTTAGCTCAGTGGTGCCGCTGCCTGCCTCACAAGTGCAAGGTCCCCCAAGTTCGATCCCCAGTACCAAAAAAAACCCTTTTAAGTGTGGTATCTACAGAGTAATTTTCAGCCATATACAGCATTCAGGAAAAAAATTAATTTTAGCTTATAAAATAAAAAATGTGCTGAAAATAATTACAAGGCAAGATATAGTATACTTTAAAACTTAACAAATATAATCTTGATTTTTTTATTGCTGGGGATTGAAAGCAGGCTTTTGCACTTAACTGCATCCTTAGCCCTTTTCTATTTTCATTTCTTGAAACAAAGTCTCACTAAATTGCTAAATTGCTCATGTTGGATTTGAACTTATGATCCCCTTGCTCAGCCTCCCAGAATGGTAGGATTATAGGCATGAGCCATCAAGCCCAGGTTTAAATCTTTTAAAAATAAATTTTACTGGGGCCAGGGATTTAGCTCAGTGGTTTTGCCGCCTGCTGCGCAAGCGCAAGGTCCCGAGTTTGATCCCCAGTACCAAAAAAATAAATAAATAAATAATAAATTTTACTGATTTAACTAAAAGTTTATGTTTAAGGTTAAAGTTATTATGATTAGTGTTTATACATATAAATAAAAATTTTCTAAAACTCTGAACAACAATGCACCTAAAATTCAGATATTAGTGATTTTAAAATGCTTGTAAAAGTTTTTAAAATATCATATATCTTAAATAGGTTACCACATTTACATTTAAATGTACTGCATGCATTTAAAAACTTATTCATATGGGTTCTGTTGAACCAAACCATGTTCTGTTACCCAAATATGTGATCCTTTTCTTTATCAGAATCTGCTGTCAATAGTTTACAAATAGTCTCTTCTTTAGTTAGCTGTGGAAGCTTTCCTTCCAATGGATTCAAAGTCAAAGAAAGAAAGCTGAAGATCTGAAAAAAGTTCAAAGCCACTGAAATGTACTTAACATGACTTAGACTATCCCTTCACTTAAAAGAAACTAAACATGTAGTTTTTATCTAGAAAGAAAATTTTACCAAGGTGAGAGGGACAGAACTTTCATAACATTATCCTGAGAATAACTTTTATAAAATCAAGTAAATGCTTCCTTGACCTAAAATAATCAGGAAAAAGTACATCTAATTCAAATTAGTAAGCTTAAAGGAAGATAGTAATTAATCTTTTCAGTACGATATAAAACAAAACTAATGTGGCATGTTGACAAATGACTCAGAAAAATTAAGCACTATGGTAGTACTTTAAATACATTGCTAAGTGGAGAAGAAATAATAAGCATGACAAGATGTACACAAATTCCAACTATACACATCAAAATACGGTGAAATTCTTTAGTTTTACAATCTAACTTCTTAGAAAGTCAAGGCTATGTCATATAATCAGTCAAAATATAAGATCAAATCTTATTTTAAAGGAGGGGTGACTCAAAATAAATTTTGATATTCATACATTTCTTATGTCAAATTCAGTATCATCTATCCAAAATTTAATAACGCAATAAAACAATTTTGTTTTTAAAATTTCAAACCTTAGAAGAAAACTGTAAGCTTCTTTTTTGAAGTTTTACAGGACTTTAGGGATTAGCATCTACTCTAAAATAATTTTGAAAATGTAGATTTTATTTGTAAAATGATAGGCATGTTTATTAGATTGCTCAAAAATTAGAGACAGTTATTTTACATGCAGTAAAAGTGACATGACCTGATGATTATATGATGGGACCTTTGGAATTACACATACTTTAAAATTCAGAAACTCAGTGTTATGAACTCTTGAACTAAATAACTTAATTTTACAATTGTACGGTACTTGTTTCTTGCTTAGAAAATACAGACCTGTGGCTAAAGCTTTAGTGTTCAAACCAAAAATTTATGTTGCTAAAATAATTTAATATATAAATAATATCATTGAATTTAAAATCAAATGATAGATCATACACCCAACTGTGTTATTGCTCTACCACATACCTTGTCACAGTATAGGAATAAACGATGTTTAAGGGATTTAATTTTTAAATTTTCTTAAATATTCATAAGTATGTTTTATTTATACACTCTTATGTGATGTTTTACTAATCTTATCAATCTCAATATACAAACTAATTCTTAAAAATATGAACCGGTTTGAAATGTTTAAATAGCCTTGTTACAATTTCATTTCTAGGAAAATATTTTTTTATCCTTTTACATAACTTAAATTATCACATTACATTGCAGGGCTGGGGATTTTTCATTACTCAGAAAAAAGATATATTTAAACATTTAATAATAGTCAAAAATATTCTTACTATACTTGTGAATTCTAACAAAACAATGTAGAAGTTCTATATAGGATTATGTGATATGTGACAGAAAAAGTAATTTAATATACAAATAGATACCTCAAGATGTTTATTTCTTTTTGCAATCTCACTTGGTGTTTTTCCATCTTTGGTTTGTAGCATTTTATTAGCTCCAAGTTCGAGTAACTTTAAAACTACATTTTTATGACCCTGACGTGCTGCCCATGTTAAAGCCTGTAAGTAGGGGAAAAAGTTTAAAGAGAAGGAGTGTAAATGAAGTGGCCAGGAAACAGTTTCAACAGCATTTATGGCATAATAAAAGAGAAAACATAATTAATGGAATGACACAATCTCTTCATTTCACAATATAATGTGAAAGCTATATTTGCAGACTGCAACGTTCACTGATTTTATAAACCAAACAATGTTTTACATAGCTAAGTGATGTCACAGAACAAAATGATTTTTATCTGCCAATCACTAATGTTTTCTATAAAGATGAATCCTTACGTGTGTTTGAGAGCCCAGGCTCTTCAGTACTACAGCTTTGTCAGGAAAGAAGACTAAAAAAAAAAAAATCAAATAATCCCTTTCTCTTTCAGCTTTTGCTGTATTTTACTAACAGTGACTATATCCCAGGCTTTCTATAATTATTACTTCATAAAACTCTTTGTAATAAAAACCAACCAACCAAGCAAAACCCACCTATTTTTATAGACTACTAATAAAAATATCAAAGTTAAAAATAAAATGGAGTATTACAAAAATGTTTCTTACAGTGTAACCATTCTCATCCTGGGCATTAATGTCTGCTCCATGAACAACAAGGAGAGCAACAACCTGAGGGTGACCATCACGTGCAGCATACATGATTGGAGTCATAAGTCTCCTAAGAAAGACGAAGAAACATTTGCATTAATTCTGCCATTAACAACTACTCTTATTTATGAATTTAACCATACTCAATACCATCAGTACTGCTTTAAAAGCAAAGAAAAAGAAAAGCTTTTAGTAATTCAAGTAATTTAAAAATTAATCTTCTAGCAAAAAGTAAAATGTAAAAGGTAACACTTAAAAGTACTGAACGCTTACACAGCACCCTCTAGTGAAGAAACGTTAAAAAATCACTAAGCCACGCTTTCTAATGTTTCATTAATTTACACATTCACCTAGAAAATTATCAGAGTACACACACTGTATTCATGCTGGGAATATAGTGATGAATGAGACAAGGTCCTTGCCTCAATGGATTTGCTCATATTAAATGCTTATTACATTGATGAAATAAAATTTTAAATTGAAAAACTTTCTCTTACTTCTGAATTCATTATGACTCTATTTTAGTCTAAGACTGAAAGAATTTTATCCTGACTTGGATGCTTAATCAAAAAAGAGATCAGTCCAATAATGTAACCTGCCTAATACTTTCAAGAGGGCGGTGGGGGTATAGCGGTATCTCTATAGTTTATCATTTCCCAAAATAAGAGATTCAATCCCTCTACTGCTGGAAGTTAGTCAGTTTCTGGGCCTATTCTTTTTTTTTAAATATAGAAATAGAAATTTATTTAAAATTTTTTATTGGTATTGGTGCATATTTGGAGTATATAGTAATTGTAATTTTCATAGAGAGTAGGTACATGTACATAATTCATCTCAAATTCTTTTTTCAAGCCCCCCCCCCCCATCTCTTAGTCCCTTTCACTTTGGCAAAAGATCTATTTCCATATTCCCTATTATCTTGTATTTTGTTCATTTATACTTTGGCTTTCTCATATAAGAGATATGCAATATTTAAGTTAGTGTGTCTGATTTATTTCACTTAACATCATGGTCTCAAGGTGCATCCATTTTCCTACAAATGACTCGTGTTTATCCTTTGTTATGCCAGACTAGCACTCCATTGTGTATAAGTGGTATTTTTTTATGTATTCATCTGCTCGTGGGCATATAGGCTGCTTCCAAGATTTAGCTAGTATGAATTGTCCTGCTATAAACATGGGTATGCAGGTATCACTGTAATATGAAATCTTTAGTTCTTTCAGGAAGATAGCTAGAAGGGAAACAGATGGGTTAAATGAAATTTCCAGTTTGCTTTTTGAAGAATCTCCATACTGAATTCCATAATGGTTGTATTAGTTTACATTCCCATCAACAAAGTAGAAGGAGGGTTCCTTTTTCTCTGCAGCTTCAGCAACATTTGTTATTTGCTCTCTTGATGATAGTCATTCTTTCTGGAGTAAGGCTAAATCTCAGTGTTGTTTTAATTTGATTTTCTTTAATGGCCAGAGACCATTTTTTTCATGTATTATTGGCCATTTGTATTTCTTCTGAGAAGTGTCAATTCATTTCAGACCCATTTTTATTGGGTTTTTAAATTTTCAGGAATGGTTTAATGTTTTGTGTTCTTTATATATTCTAGATATTAGTTCTGTCCAAAGAAAAGCTGGCAAATTCTTTTTCTCATTCTGTGGGTTGTTAATGAATTATGCTGGTTGTTTCCTTTGCTGTGAAGACGCTTTTAGCTTTTTTGTCCTATTCTAAAGGACACCAGAACAATTTTATCAGTTTTATTTGGGCTTATTTACCACATGGTCTGTTTTAAGGAGGGTCTGATATTCTAGGCTTGATCTTTCTGAGTCATCAATATCTGACAAAAACACAAAGTTCAGAAAAGAAAAACAAATTCACAATTCTATGTTTTGATCTGACTACAAAAGTTCATGTTTATTATTCACATCACTTATATTACCTATTAACAGAATAATTCTCGATAAGATTTGTTAGCATAGGTATATTATGAATCTAATCACTTAAAATCAATGATTTTAGGATAAAACAATTCACATATTTATGTTTCTTCTATTTCCTAATACAATGTTTTATTTGAAATTCCATGCTAAGTAGTAGTAAAACAATAGTTCTTTTACCATGAACAGTTCCTACATATTGGCTGTATTAAGAATGATAAGCTTTAAAGAGTGGAGAAAGAATTTCCTGGATAATTTATACGTATTAAAAAATCAAGTGGGCTGGGGATTTAGCTCAGTGGTGCCACGCCTGCCTCGCAAGTGCAAAGTCCTGAGTTCAATCTCCGGTACCAGAAAAAAAAAAATCAAGTGTTAAATAATCAAATTCTTCACTGTTTAAATTAGACCTCTTTATGTCTATCCTTCATTCCATTTCTGCCCACAAAAGCCAAAATCTCTCCTCTCAATCTTTACAGTTTTAGGGATCCACCATTAAACACATTATTCAGGCATAAAACAAGGGATTGTTTGTGATTCTTTTCGATCACTTACTATAGAAGTCATCAGCAGGTCCTATTGATTCCCCCTTCAAAATACATGCTGCTTCTGAGCACTTATCATCACATTAGTCACTGCAGCAGTCCAAACCATCTCACCTTTCTCTGACTTATATTATTGCAATAGCTTCAAGTTTATTTTCCATGTTTCTATTCTTGGGCAATTACAGTTTATTGTCTTTGAGATGCCAAGTTGTCTTCTTTTCAGGGGAACAATGTTGCATTGGTTTCTGACTCCAGCAACAGTAAACTTATAACAGGGCCTACTTTAAAACACAGACTAATTGGTTTTTTAATACATTCAAGTGAGGCCATCACCAATGTTGCATAGCAATTTTGATGGGAAAAAGGACAATTCTCCCCTTAGTTTTTAAATCTATAGAGATTTGTAACAAATGTAATCTCTTGACTGCTCTAGTTTAATGAAGCAACAATCTTATGGACTCTTCAAGAAAGTTATAAACTTCGTATTAACTGGTTTACTCAAGTGATATGGTAATTATCCGTGCTACTTATACCAATTTTTATCTTATTTCCTGAGTCAACACAAAGAATTCTCTTCACACTGTCTTGAGATTTCCTTCTGTTTGCCCATTCTAACACACAACTGCTTTAGCGGACATCAACACTTATTTAGACTCCTTTTCTTTTCCTACCATTTAAAGGCATGTTCTGTCCTCAATACTCTTTTCTTCTCTCAATATAAAGCATGCCTGAATGATGTCGCCTACTCTCAAGACTACTCTCACATATTCATGGCTACTGGCTTTGCTCCCAGGCTCCAAATTATAGCTGTCACTGGCACCTGGAAATTCCAATAGAACTGAAAACCATTAATGTCCACATCTAAAATCATTTTCCCCGTAACACACAATGCAGGATTCTGTGAAGAGAATCATAATCCAGTAACTACTTGACACACAAACCTGAAATTTATCCATGACTCCTTGTTTCATCTTTGTATCTAAACCAGCATGACTGTCAATTTTACCACCTCTTTCATCATCTGTCCACCTTGTTCTCCTTCCTATGTGTTCAGGCCCTTGTCACATGAATAACTGCAACAGCATCATTAAATGGCTTCCTTTATATTTGTAAGTTTCATTGTCAATTTACTCCTTAAAATTTTTAATATCAGGCTGGGCATGGTGGTACATGCCTGCAACCCCAGCACTAAGGAGGCTGTGGCAGGAGGATTGCTGTGAATTCAAGGCCAGTCTGGGCTACACAGTGAGTTCAAGGCCAGCCTGAACTACATAGTGAGACCTTGTCTCAAAAAAAATTTTTTAACGTCATACCTAAGACTGACTGTACCACCTGGGCACCTGCAGTTTTACAGAATTTCAGCCTAATACTAAATACTAGACTAAAGTCTTCTGGTCATGAATTCCAACTTTTCCTTCCTCTGGATATCCCATATAAAAAAAACAAACTCTGGCTGAAAAGCCTTTTTTACTTTTCTTCTTGATGAGCTTATTCTTGTTCTATCTCTGAGGATTTATTTTAGAAACTAATATGTCTCTTAATTCTTTTAAAAAATACTCCTTTACCAATTTTATATATCTTTGCCCATTTGTATATAAATTTTGCCATGCACCTAGCAGATTTCATCTCAAAAATTGGTGTCTTCAATTTGGGAATATTCCTTACCATCATTAGTTCAAATATTGTATACCTTCCAGTTTCTCCTTCTGGAACTGACAGATGTTAGAACTTCAGGTAAGGTACTCCGTGTCTCTTAGCCTTTCCTTTATCCTTTCCATTTGTTACTCTTTATCTTATATACTAGATGATTTATTCACGTCTAGCTTATAGTTCACTATCTGTTCTTCAGTTGAGTGTCATCTGCTATTTTGTATGTATATTTAGTTTTAATATTCAACGTTCTCTTTTAAATAATTCATTGTTCTTGCTTTGTAAATCCCATTTGTCTTTTTGTGGAGGCAAATCCCTCTTTCCTTCCTTAGAAAAATAAAGTCCTTTTTATGATTCTTCTATTTTTTCTTTTTCCAGGATAAATCACTCTTTTTGTTGATTGTTGTCTCTGTTTTATTTCATGATGCTTACATTCTCCAGATTTTAGCGATTTGTGGCTGTACACTTACGTTCTAAGGCCATCCAACAATGACCCTGGCCGTAAGTAATGTTTTTAGGTGTCCTGAGGGTTCCCGTCTCTCCCTTCCTCCCAATCTCCCTACCTCTCTCCCTGTTTCTTCCACACAGCCTGTGTGTGTGTTTTACTGGGGACTGAAGCCAGGGCTTTCACTTGAGTTGCATCCCCTGCCCTTTTTATCTTTTTATTTTTCCAACACGGTCTTGCTAAGCTCCTGAGTTGCCCAGGCTAGGCTGGAATTTGCAAACATCTGCCTCAGCCTCTAAGAGTGCTGGGATTACAGGCCTGCACCATAGACCTGGCTCCATCTGTTTATTTGTTTAGAATTACTCCTTTTACATTCCAGAGGTAATTCCCTTTCTTATTTTAAATAGAACCCTATTAAAATATTTTAACACCTGAATATCTAAAATTTGGTAGAGGAAGAGGGCAAAATTCTAGTATAATCTCAGCCTAATATCTTGAAGTCATA